AATGTGTTCATCACAGCTGGTAAAGGTGGGGCTAATTTAATTAATTGATATGATGCTGCTGGATATCCTAACCTATAATTATATATTATAGTTTATGTATTATTTTATTTATATTTTATATTTAAGAAATTGAATCTGTAAAGTTACTATACTAATTGTGTTAAATACATGTAGTAGAGTAAAATGTACAATATTTGATTTTACAATGTAGCGGACTATAAGTATGAAGTAGTATACAATACTTAAGTAAAGTACAAGTACCCCCAAATTGTACTTAAGTACAGTACTTGAGTAAATGTACTTTAATAATACATTACACCACTGTAGGTGCAATGTCCTGCCAACTAGGCACACAATAAATCTTATGTTTATTTTAAAATGCACTTCCTACATTCTATTCCTAATTCATTTAAGGCTATATATTCAACTACTTTTACTTGTAACTGTAGTTAATTGTAGTTCTGTTACATTTTAAGGGTAACTATAGCTGTAAGATATTACATTTCTCAAGTAACTTTACAAACACATAAGAGACTATATTTGGCTATATAGAGTTCAAATCTCTACCATGGTTATCGTTATCAAACCAAATTATCAGGGTGTTATTTACCATTAAAAACTTGGAAACTGAATAATAGGACTCCATGGTAACATACAAAAAAATTTGGGAAAACTAATTTAGGTTACAAGCCGTTTTAGCTTGCTTGTAGCCTACTCATCAACATATTTTTTCAGGATCCTCCTACATGTAACCAACCCCAATTATCTTAGTTCCCACTTCTGGGAAGCATGGAAACCCAGACTGATGGGGATTTCCCTGTATTTCACTCCATAAATGACATCACTGTTGGGCCTTAATGTAAAAATATTTTCTCGAGGCTTGAGTTTGAAATAATACTGGAATATCTATGTTTTCAAAACTAGTGGTGTTCAGCTATTATATAACTGCCAAAAAGTGTATCGCAAAAAATAACTATTCTGACATGCAAATAACACTACTGCGGGCCACCATGAAATGTTGCAATACTGCACCATGTTAACTCAATTCCACCACTAACATTTCAAAATGACCAGGTCCGGAGATTAAACATTATGCTGCCTTGAACCTATGAGTTAAAAGATTCCCAGATGTTAGAAGTCAAACATACCTTTATATCTATTTAAAATTATTCTAAACAATGTTTATGATGGCAGAGTTGAAGATGGGCAGAATGAAAGTTATTTGATTGCTTCAAAGATGAATGAACATGCAATGAGAGAATGATATATGTAATTCTGCTGGCTTCAAAATGTAACCACATTATTGATATCTTTTAGTTGTATAAAATATATGCAACTACAATACGTTGAGGGACTTTTCTCACAATTATGAAAATTATAAATACATTTGAAATGTAGCAATAGATAAAATGAAGTTATAGGGCTGCTCTCAGTACCAGCAACCACAGCAGTTAGCAGTTCCCTTCCTTAGAACCAAGTGCTTCTTTTATCAGCATTAAGCAGAGCTTCCGCCAACGAACATCCTCCTTTCCTTACCTTCCCTCTGTCTGTAGAAGACTTGATGTTTAATCTTATGAACACATTTCCTAAATATGCAATTACATATAAACATTTATGCACACAATCACATCTCTTCAAGCACTTATTTCTGTTTAATTAAACTGTTTACCTATTTGTATTTGTAATTGTGTTTTCCATCACTAGTTATATGTGAAAAGATTGAAAACTCTTGAGAAATAAGGTACTGTTGTTACAAACGTTATCTTAATCTGAACATATTGCGATAAGGGCAGACTGTATTGAGACATTCAGAAGAATGATGCTGCATATTTAGGTTCCTCATTTGCCCTTTTTCAGGTAGTGATAAATTATGTGGCCATCTTTACAGCGATGAAAAGGTTTATAAATCCCATTTATATTTGAATCTACAGTTGCAATTATGCATTTGCTTAATTGAAAACGATCAAAAATGTACAAATTACATTACGCATCTTTAAAATCATTCAAAATAGGACAGGCAAATATGTGAAACTAGATATTAGCTGAACAGTCCACCTATATGCTGTAGTTGATCAAATTGCAAACCCTTTAGAGTTGAGTACCACAATGAACAATTGCACAGGTTACCATTTGTATTTCTCCAATTTGCAGTGTTGTTTGTATTAAGGTCGAATATTAACAATAGAAAATGAGTAGAATATCTTATTTTTTACAATTCCAATCAAGATACTGACTTGTTAGTTTATCAATGTAAGAAGAAAAAAATACTCCATCTGCCCTTTCTATTTTTTTTTTTAACTTTCCCAGAAGCTGACTCCAAAAATATTCCCTTTTTGATACCACAACCCAAGGCACACATTCATTGTGTTTAGTAGCGAGGTGGTTTTTGCTCATGTCTGATACAGCCTCTTGGATGTTAAAACAAAACCAAAGAGGCCACACTCCTCCATCTTTGATAACTGCTAGGCCCTGAGCCTGTTTTTCAGGTCTCAGGCTCGAAAATGACATTCCCAGAACAAATGACCATATCTTCCCTTCTAAAAGGGTTAAATTAATAATCTTTTCTCTCAAAGTAATGATAAACCTGTGAGTTGGATGTAGAAAAGTCAGAATCAATATAGATGTTTTTTATTTTAAAGAAAATTCAGATTGAACATGGTAAATTATGTAAATTATAGTGTCCGTCCAAAAAATATGTTGTACTTATTGTGAAAAAACTAACCTTGGATGATGGGTTAGTAGACTAAAAGCTTTAGGAATCCAAATTACAACATATAATAAGTACCCTGTATCAAGATTGATGCAAAACAAGTGATATTTGACCTCTTCTAGGGCCATTTGGGTGGATTTTCCTTATCTCTGGCCCCCCTTGTTCGATTTTGACATGTGACATCTCTTTCTGACCGTTAGAGCCAATAGAATTTAAGGGAAATCGTCCCATAGACAAGAAATGGTGGCCTCTCTGCGCATGCTAGCTTGCCTTAGAGGGGAGACATATCGCTGCTCTGATATCAAGCAACGGAAAAGCTGTGTTATTGCTTATGGATTATCAGAACATTTCAAAGGGGACACAGACACATTGGATTAACCTATGGACTAACTACACCATCGTTTTTATCGTTTTAATGCCATTGAAGACCAGTTTAGACCAGACAAAACCAAGGTAAGACATGTTAGCGTTGTGGGCTACCTAGCGCCACTTGTTTTGATGTACGTTTTTGTTGATAACTTCGCGAGTTTGTATCTTTCAGTGTTGAGATTCTGTGTCTCCTTGCGATCATAAACGATGTGTTGGATGTGCACCTAGGATAAGTAATAAGGGAGCTAGGAGTGATTATCGGTGCAGTAATAGGTTAGCATTTTTCGGTCGGGTCATTTAGATGCTTCTTATGAGACTTGTGTTTTGTTTTGGTAAAAATGGTTTGTATCGTCAGTTAGCTGAGATTATTCGCGTTAATCTGGTATAACACATTAATAGGTTCTTAAATATTAAGATCCCCTGAGACACAGTGTCGTGAAAAAAAAACTGAAGTACCCGCCGGCGGGGACCTTCGGGCTTAACAAATGAACTGCCACAGAAACACCAGGACACACAGAGGAGGCAGGGAACAACTTAAAGGACGAACATAATTAACCATTACTTTGGCATAACATAGACTTAATAAAACTCAATGATTATAAACATAATTCAAAGGGGGTTTACAGCAAGAACAAGTCTGACAATGTGGAGAGGTTCAGGCAAGCTGGAAAGCAGAGATGTCAAAGACGAATTGAAGCAAACAAACACAAACAGGGAAAGTGGGCGTTGAACTGGGAACTGTGTCCAGATTCAAAACCATTGTGGTCGCAGTAATAACAGGGTGCTCTTGGCATGCTGTGGCAGTGGTTGAGTCAGGGGCTGGGTGCTAGGAACTTGGGTTGGGAAGTCCCTTCTTTGATTCCTGGTAGACATTCACCTTTCTTGACTATGTCAGCCACCTACTTTTTCCATCTTAGAACAATGACAAAGAAAACATTGAGATTTATGTCTGTGGGATGTGATATTGTAATGGGCCGGACAAAACCTTCCATGTTCTCATGGTTTTTTAATATACAGTGCCTTACTGAAAGCCTTACTGTAACTCCGGTTTTGTTTATTGCAAGTCCTAAAATGTATAATTATTTCACAATAAAAAAGTCAAGCTTTGGTCAGTGTTCAGAATAAATGTACTGAAACATATTTATCTTTTCATCTTATGTGTTGTTAGATCATTTAAAAAAAGTAAAAATATGTATGTGAATTATCACTGTAAGTGTCTCAAAAGGCCATCGTATAATATTTATATTTGTATTATTAAGTTGAATAATGCTGTAAATCACATTAAGTGAACTTCATAAGTGTGTTTATTAAAGATGACATATGTGTTTTTATCAGCTTTGTATTTCTGATAAAAAAGCAATTCTGTGTTGTTTGAAGCAAATCTGAATGTACTACTTGCCTTTGTTGCACACTGCCGTTATCTTTGCTTCTTTAGTTTTGTAGAAAATGGAGTTCGGTTCCTTGTATGCAGCATTATGTTAAAGCAACAGAGACGCTGAATCAACATACATGTATTTAATCAACAATCGCTTTTAAAAAATGAAATCTATCCACTATGTTGTCACAATGTATACAGTAGGGGGTCTTTTACAGTGCATGAAATATCTTGAATATTTGATGTGATGCCGATAACTTCCAAAATCATCACTGTGGGACAGACTGCTTTCTATCGACAAATTGTTTTATGAAACAATAAAAAAGCAACATTTCGACTATCAGTTTGTGTGAAAGCTGTTGCACAATAGAGCAGTTCTCCATAACACATAGTCTTTGTGAGTTCTCTGCTCACAGTTTTTCAGATCAGGGCAATGAGGGGATTTTTCTGTGAGGGATTTTAATGGTCACTTGCTATGTAAGACACGCTCCCCTCCATTCTCCCCCTGCTCCTCTCTCTCCCTTGGCGGTTGCTCTGCCAGATAGGGGAACAATGTAGTCTTTCTTACCTGTCGGAGGGTGTACATTCCATCTCTGCTAAACTAAGTCTCAATCCTGCCTCAAACCCACCCCTGCTCGAACAAGGCCCTCAGTGCAATGCCGGCTCCAGGTGCTCCACATCACACTCCTCAACCTTTCGTTTTGGAGGATTTGAAAGGACACAGTTCTTGTACGGTTTGGCCACGACAGGGACAACAATCCTGCTAGTTTCACTCACTTTTAGGGCGTTTAACGTAATTGTTGTGTGTGTATTGTCATAATATAATTAGAATTAAAATTGCTTACAGCTTTTTGTTTGTTTTTGTAAACATCTACCTACCTCAGTGTGGACTGACAGAATGATTGTCGTGGTGTATGCCAGACTGTTGGTTTGTGGTTTGTCATGTGGGCTAAAGGGAAATTTGGAGGTTGGGGTGCAAGTGTGCTATTAAGGATACAAGAGTGCAAAAAATTGTGGTGTGGGTGCTTTACAGGAAGATTGCGTTTTGTCTGCATAGAGCCATCCCATTTATGCCGGTGGCTGTAAGTGCAGCTGAACAGAGAGAGACAGACAGTTGAATAAGAGATAGAGCAAGAGGCCTCGTGTGTTTTACGTCTTGTGATCTGTTAAAAGTCAGCAACATCACGACATATGTGAAAAAAAGAACAGTTTCTCCTTTTACTCATTTTTTTCCCCTTCTTAACACCAGGATTGTGCTTCACATCTGAAGTTATTTTTGACTCATCACCTGTTGAAGAACCAGAGAATGTTGCTAAGGTATGTTCATACTCATCTAACTTTTTCTTATTTTCTAAGATCTCTTCTTTTTATTAGGCAAAGCTAGCTTAAAGGTTACATTATTTCAACTCAAAAGTAAAACTTTGTTTCCATATATTAAAATAGGTGTCGGATAATGTTTCATTACATATCATCATATAACAACGTGAGCTACTAAACAATGTAATTACATTGTTGCTCACGCTTCTGAGCATTTAAGTTGTAAAAGATACAGTTAATGTAATGACACAGTTAAATGTATTTCCACAAAATAGATTGTATCAATGGTATGTTTTGTCTCACTGTGTAATAAACGTACTTCTTATACTGACTGGACTGGTACAAGTTTGAGTTTTGACTGTGAATTATGAGAAAGAAACAGCTTTTAGAAACATAACACAAACACAATGCAGGATTTAAAATATAACAATGTCACAAAATGTCTAAACATTAAAAGATATTTATAATATTGTAAATTATATCACATTGCCTTAAACACTAGTTCCTCTGAAATAATAAGCAATATTGCAAATAGTTTGTGTTGAAGATTGGTAGAAGGAAATAAGATTCTATATTTTGAATTAAAAAATAAATATGAAAAATACCTGAATATGTACTGTAATGTACCACATTTGGTATACATGTCTGGATCTATATATTTTTTATATTATTACAATGTTATTGATCCAGACCATTGAAGTCTCTTCAAAATTGAATTGGACCAAGTCTGTAAATCGGCACACCTCAGAATGGAACCACCTGTTGTTTGATACACCACTCCAATTAACCTGACATTGATTGCTTTCTAAAAAAACGTTTTATCCCTTTTAAATGTCAGATAATTGTAACTATAAAGGTACCTTCAACCACACCCTCGGCTGTTTCAAAACCGAGAAGTAGTATTTGAATTTATGTCAGTTGAGCTTGAGCCCGGGACTTGATGAGTACATTTTGTATTTATTGATGGGAATACTTCTATTAGTTCAAATATATTTAAAGAATCAGCATGTTATTTGGAATGACATAGGCAAGTTACTTAAGTGACTTTTCGACTGTTAACTTCGAGAATTAAATGTTTGTTCTAGACAACGAAAAAGATGTGCATGAAGCTCATTTGACCCATCCTTGAATGGGTTTTTTAGTTCAGGTTAAAATAAAAAACAGGCATATTCGGGTAAAACACTAAATAATAGATAAAACAATAACTTATCTGTAGGTTTTTTCATGTATATGGGTGATGTACAAGTCATTGTAAGCCATTTATATGTGTGAGTATGAATATAAATGTACAGTACGGTGTTCATTGGACAAGTGGATCTATTCAATACAGTGTTACCATCTCTGTTGGTGTTTAAGTCTCTGTTTATTTATGTGCTGAAAACCTTAAATACTTTTATTATACTCAAATGGAAGTTGAAGTTTAAAATAACAGCTACTGTCAAGCTTTACCAAAAGAGTTTAAAGAAGTCTGCAGACATGTTTTCAGACACCACAGTTTTCCAAAGCAGCCATCAGGCCCCAGTGTGTCTTGTAGAGAGCGCTGTTTTCCCGCAGATTGCCTTATCAGGAGTCTGCATAGCTGCAGCCAGGACAGCTGTTGGGAGGAGTTAAATTAACTAAACTGAACCTGTGTGTGCTCCGAAAAACCTACAAAACAACCAAACAGTCATTTATGTGAAGCACTGACAAAATCTACATATATGTTATTTACCGTATGTTTAAAAAAAAAGTGTGGTAACGGTTTTAAACGATATGCAGAAGGGTTTTTTCTTTCTTTCTTTCTTCTATTAAAATAGGCTACTTGTATCAGAAATTAAACTTGTTGTTCTGTCCTCACCAGGTTAATCTATAGCAGCTAGAGTCTGTCCTGAATGTGTTCAACAGCCAACTATGTTCTCCCTCTGAGGAGAACCTGTGAGGTAGGTTTGTTTAAGAGGAACACCACAACACATAATAAATCCTAAAATAGACACAGTAATCAATATTATTTTCTATTACAAGGTATTAGCTACTCCAGGCAGGCTGTGTGGGGGAGTGTCCATGTCAGCTAATTTCCCTGGAGCCAGGTCTCATGGAGCTCCTCAGGACACAGAGATGGATGTGGCTTGGCAGGAACTGATGGCCATCACAGAAATGCAGGTAGAATTATTATTTTTTACATTATGTTTTTTTTTTTATCCCAGATGTTCCAAATATTTAACCTTATCACAATACCCCATGCTGAGTTAGAAAAGGGGTCCATGTGCAAATGAGGACACTTTGGATCATAATAATTTTTGATTGTTTTCAAAATCCAAAAGTCTCAGCAGATAAGAAGGTATTTATCCATTAATATAATGTGTTATTCTCAGTTTCATGTTCAAAGAAAAGATTGAAACACAACAGTTGTGGCTCACTAATGAATAATTACTTAACAAAATATGTATTTAATTCTATTGGAATAAATACATATTTTCCACTTTTCATGTGGTGCTAACTGTTGAAAAACGAATACTCTCAGCTGGGGAAAGCAACAATGGCCCATTTGAGTGATGGTAGGATGAAGAGATTGTGAGAGGGGGCAAGTGCTGTATGTTCCTAGTGGCCCCCTGCACCGTACAATAGCCATCTGTTTCCAGGTGAAATCGGATCACATCTATGAAGCCTTCATAGGCTATGGGTGGCATGCTGAAGTGGGGGCAAACTGTGCTCTATATTGAGCCAGATAAAATGCAAAAAATTGTGTTGCATTATTGATTTTTAAAATTCCTTATAATTGCCTTTGATCATTTTATGCTGTTACTGTGTCATATGCTAATTAATTTGTAATTGCCAAGTCATAACCAATAAAGCTGATTATTTATTTTTTTCCAGGAGTTTCAAGCACCCAGTGAAGACTCCTATGAAACAACACAGTACCAAACTATGGAGCCCACGGTCCCTATGGGAGGATATGGGATGGCCCAGTCCCATTTGGAGCCGCCTCCTGCTGCTTGTGAGCTCGGCCCTGCTGACACTTATGATGGATGTTATTCTGAAGAGGTGCCCTCCTGTCATCGTCTCGGAAGCCATTCAGAGGCAATGTATGGACCTGAACCTCCGCACAATCAAAGAATGATCCCCATCTCTTCCTACACACAGACCTCGCACATGGCTCTTAGAGAACCAATGAACATGTCAGGTAGCAGTCAAGGGCACAGGAGGGCAAACACTTCTCTCTCTCGGGATCTCCGTCGGCACATGCTTTGGACTACACATGGACAAAGTTTGCAGGCCTGCTCAGCTGATGATCTTGAGTCGGACTCAGGTCTGTCTCTGGGCTCTAGTCCACCTTTGGCTTCCCCAGATAATCCCGTTGGGGGTGCATCAGGTTACCAGAGTGTTGACATAGGGATGACATATAGTGATGTTGAAGCAGACAGTGTGGCTGAACATGCCAGAAGAGCACACATCCATTACCCAATGGACTACCAGAACCAATCTCACTCATATTTACAATCAGGTGATCAGTCTTATTTCTCAACCCAACCCCCTCTCTCACATACACAAGGTAATGCTCCAATTCCACAGCCAGTAAAACAGCAGGGAGAGGCCTCTGCACTGAATGATCTGTATATAGACTCTGGAGTGTCCAGCAGAGGGAGCTCCCAACATAACATGTACAGAAAATCACAGGGAAGTATCTCCGCTCCTGCACCACTGAGCAGAGATGAGCGGCGGGCTATGTCCTTAAAGATCCCCTTCCCCATGGCGAAGATCATCAATCTACCCGTGGATGACTTCAATGAGCTCCTAACACATTATACCCTCACAGAAAGTCAACTAGCACTTGTCAGAGATATTAGACGAAGGGGGAAGAACAAGGTAGCAGCTCAGAACTGCAGGAAAAGGAAGCTTCAGAGCATAATTCACCTTGAAAGAGAACTGAACCAGCTGCATGGTCAGAGAGAGCGCCTGGCACAGGAGAGGCACGAGTTCCAGCGGAGCTTGGCTTTTATTAAATGTCGCCTTACAGACCTTTATTCAGAGGTGTTTTCTCACTTGAGAGACGAAAATGGACAACCATACTCAGTAGATGACTACGCCCTACAACAGACACCTGATGGAAAAATGTATCTGGTACCTCACACCAACATGCAGCAAGGAGAGCAATGCTGAGACACTGGGGATTGAATATTTTGTTAATACCCTTACAGTATAATATTGTGCAGACTTAAAGTATACAAACTGATTGGAGGCCACAAAAAAGTTCATACAAAACATGCCATATATGCATCACTGTACACTTCATGCTCTTACATATGACTGAAACAACACAGGTGTCTTATAAAAATACTTTATTTAAAAACACTGCACAGCAGTCTTCAGTGTAAAAAAAACAAGTCTCCAGCATGATTATTCAGGAAGCCTGTGAAGAACAAATCAAAGATAAATATACAAGCGTTCAAAATTGTGCAAGATTCTGATGAATGACCGATTTGTACCTGAATTGAGCCATTGTCACAGAAATGGAATCGGGTTTTGGACACCATGTTGAGTTTCCTATAAAGCAGAAATACCAATTAAGTATAACAATCTGGCAACCAAAGAAAACAAATTATTAAATGTTGTTCACAGCATGCATATTTGTACGGCCTCTTTGCACAACTAGAAGGCGTTATTGGTGAAGTCATAATAAAGTTTTTTTTGCACAAATATATTGTCATTACTGGGCTACGTAACTTACTACCAGCTACACAATAGCAATACATACTATCAGTAGTTGAGAAGTCTGGTCTTACCTACAGACAGCACTTATGCCTTTTGGTAGCTGCTGCATGCTAGCCTCAGGCTTCTGTTCTCACTCTCCCCTGCTTCAATGATCCTGGCGATGGTTTTGCTACTTCTCTCCCTCAGCTGGCTTCCATGACTAGCCTCAAAGACTTTGCATGTAAGCTAGCATCCTCCAGTTGATCTTTGCAGAACTCAGGGTAGTCTGTACCAGGTGATGGGCTCTTTATGACGAAGTATTTTGTGCACCACCTCTCATTCCTCAACCACAATTGTAGATGTTCCCTTCACATTGACTTATGGTGTATGTAGTTACTATTGCAGGTCTTCTCACATCACATGGATATTTCTTGGCTCCTCACATATGCAAATGATGTCCCTCATCCCACAGTGTACAGTAATAGTCAACCCTCCCTTTCCCAGACCACTGAAGAGGCTAACAACACTTTGTAAAAAACTGAAAGATGCTTTATTTCAGCTTGATTTGATGCAGATACAAATAAAACCAGACTCAAAGAAAAAGAAATCTACATAAAATCTCATTGGAATGCTTTCTTTCCAGATACACATTTCGATTAAAAAATAAAAACACAAAAACGTATAAGTGAAGACCCTCCATGATTTATCTACTGTACATCTCTTCTTGCAGCAGCAGTAACCTGCCACAATTGTTTGGCTGAGCAGATTTAGGACGTAAACCTGCAGCTGCCCTGTCACTTCTCTCGCTCTCCTCTCCTTGCTCTCCTCTCCTCTCCTAAGTACTCAGTCCTGTTGAACAATACGGAACAACATTGTTAACTGTGCACTGACTTTGTAGAACCTGAGATCCAGAGTGATTTTTTATTTATTTATTTTGTTACTGTTTATCCAAACTTAACAAGTCCCTGCCACTACAAACTCTGGTTTTATGTTACAAAATGAATAGTGCATGCATGTTGTCAAGTACCTACCACTTCACATTCAGAATCGTGCCGAACGACCATATCCACCACCGTTGTTGTTTGAGCCACCTCCATAGCCACCTGCAGAGAAAACGGATAACTTAAGACTACAGAAACTATGACCAACAATTATACATCCTCCCATCTGCTTTTCTTTATCTTACCGCCAAAGCTCCTTCCTCCTCCTCCTCCTCCTCCTCCTCCAACACTGCCGCCACCACCGCCACCACCACTAAAGTTGTTTTTCATTGGGCCAAAGTTGGAGGCCTGGGAGTCGTAGTTGCCCATATTGTTGTAATTATTTCCACCACCACCTCCACCTCCGCTACTACCACCACCACCACCACAGTTACCTATAGGGAAAACAAATATTCAGTTACACACATGTTGAAGACAGAACATATGTCAAATGTAATACTGTCTAGTTAACACTTACCATAGCCATTGCTCTCATAACCATTTCCTCCATAGCCACCACCTCCACTACCACCGCCTCCTCCTCCTCCTCCTCCACCACTACTACCACCACCACCACCCTGGTTGTAACCTCCTTGGTTATACCCTCGGTTTCCACCATTGTTGTATCCGCCTGGCCCACCTCCATATCCTAAAAATAAAAAATAATTTCAGCACAGCCAAGCTTTAAAACCATCAATTGCTTAAGAATATGCTGAGTCAACTGCCACTTACCACCCCCACTGCCGCCGCCGCCGCCACCACCATCGTTGGCACCACCACCACCGTTGGAATTGTAAGGACCATCACCATAGCGACCCCTACCACCTAGGGTAACAGTCAGGTTTAAAAACATAATACACTAATATTTTTGAGTCCATTTACATGAATCCCATTATGGAGTATTATCATTTTAAAAGTCTTACTCGGGCTGAAGCCTCTGTCATAGTCATAGGGCCTTCCACCTCCGCCTCCTCCACTGCTGCTGCGACCTAAACCAAACCACAACATTATCTCAGTGCATCAACAGTGCCAGCATTTAAACAAGATAGTTGATTAATCTGGCTTAAATCCATTCTTAAAAAAAAAAGTACTCTCATACCCATTCCTGCTGTCTGCATCTCTTGCCTCGTGAGAGCCTTCCTCACTTCACAGTTGTGAGAGTTGATAGTGTGGTATTTTTGGACTGTAGGGTGGAAGGGAAAGTAAGTAGCTGCTCAAAACCATTCGGTAAGAGACTATAAATATGTGGCAGAAAACCTTGTACTTACTAACAATCCTGTCAACTGAATCATGATCATCAAACGTCACAAAGGCAAAGCCCCTCTTCTTTCCAGAGTTACGGTCGGTCATGATATCAATGACCTCGATTTTGCCAAACTGAGAAAAGTAATCTCTCAGGTGGGACTCCTCTGTGTCTTCTTTGATGCCACCAACAAATATCTTTTTTACCGTCACATGGGCTCCTGGTCGGTTTGAGTCCTGTGATGAAAGAAATGTGGAATTGTAATTAAACATGGATCTCTGTTGTAAAATACTCATGGCAGGTTTAAATACATATTTTAATGCCAATATACCTCTCTGGAAACAGCCCGTTTGGGTTCAACCACTCTTCCATCAACCTTGTGGGGTCGGGCAGTCATTGCAGCATCAACCTCATCAACGGAGGAGTATGTAACAAAGCCAAAGCCCCTGGACCTTTTGGAATTGGGGTCCCTCATGACCTAGAGAAAGCAACTTCAATTATTCCCTGTATTGCACAAAATATGCATGATTTCTAGTTACACAAAAACTAAGTAAATAATACCAAGGGGTTAAAGAGAAACCTTACCACACAGTCTGTAAGGCTCCCCCATTGCTCAAAATGAGCCCTCAGGCTTTCATCTGTAGTCTCGAAGCTCAGACCTCCAATGAACAGCTTGCGAAGCTGCTCTGGCTCGCGTGGTACCTACACAATAGACACAGATAATAGCTTCATCGTACAATCACCTACAGTCAGAATGAGCATTGTGTGCAATTAAATGAACATACACAATATATCGCTCATAGGATTACCAATGGATGAATAGTTTCTTAATTCTGCGTCACGTTTTTTTTTAAAAACCGGACAGGGTTGAGAAGGGAGCCATCGCCGCCATTAGGGAAGCGATCTGGTTATTTTGATTACTCTACCTCCGATTGCATGCATAAGAATACACATTTGTAAATGTAATGAGTTAGCTTTTTATACAATATTACTGAAGCCAAGCGTTTAGTGAGATTCCGGAAATTCAAACATAGATGCACGTAGGAACAAAGACCACGAGGCCCAGCTGCTATAAAATGGCGGCTTTACAAAGCATAGCTGCAGTGGCTGATAAGACACGCATTCTGCGCTGAGAATAGCAATAGGCCTATCTAAACAAATACAAATATTTTACGTTTCAGCGTACAGTAAACGCCATCCATAGTATAATACTCACATCTTTCGACATTGTTGCAGCAGGTGATACTTAAAGACTCCTTGTGGACAGACGAGGGAGGAGTGAGCTGTGCTGAGTGAGAGTCAGAACAGAAGAGACTCAGAGTACAACAGTGTTCTCAAAGGTAGACTAAATAGCAAAGGACACTCCTCTTCCACACACACACATTGGCCAGGACTTTCCGCGGCAGTCTGTCGTCACCATGTGTTGATTCTCGATTGGTCCAAATTACATCAATCACCAGCACGACGAATTAGATGACAGTAGGCGGTGCATTCCCCATCACGACGGTGATACAAAATGGATGTTATATGCATGAAGGAATACGTGAAAGTGACATGATAAGATATTGCATTTGTGCGTGATGCTGTGTAATAATTTACACACAAACAAGTGTGTGAACGAATAAGGGAATGCACAGAAAAGCAGCACATTTTAAATGATCTCCAATCCTAAATAAGTCTCAGATTTGTGGGTGGAGGTAGACTGTGTTTATCAGTGATTCCACACAACCCCACTCTGCTTTTCACCTAGAAATCTCGTGTTTTCTAACGAGACACACAATGCACATGTTTTACAATAAATATTCCTTAAAAATAAATGTAGTTCTTATCCTGGTAGCATTATTTTCGATTGACAAATATAGGTCATCATCAGCTGACCAAGGGGCGGGTACGTTCATTGTGCGCCTTAACGCGCGCTTTTCTACGCACAGACAAGCACAGCCTCATTGATGCGATCCAGGCTACATGCTAAAGTAGCACCAGCGTTGGCCTCTCAGACGAAGATACACAAAAGACACGATATCGCCAAATTAAACGGCTCAACACCACCAGTCTACACAGCCAAAGGTAAGAAGGTGTTTACACATCGAACTGCTGCATGCTGGTTCATGCATCGTTATGCATTTATGATTTTATATCAACCTAAGCTAGTGTTAGCTTGTTGAAGCGATAGCCTGTAGGCTAACGTTACTGCATAAGCAAGCTTGCCTTTAATTCCCATTGGTTAGCCGAGGCTAGTCGTTGGCTAACACATCATATTTTAATTCCTATGTGTACATATTACAATTTATGTTAAATGTATCTAACATATTAAGCAATTGTACATTTACCAAGAGGTCATTAGCTAGCAAATTGGTTCAGTAAACATGCCCGTTGCAGATTGAAACGACAATGAAATGATGCCTTTCGTTGCTAACTAGCTAGTGCCTGCTTTGTGCTTTACGTTGAACAAACGGAATGTATCGGCTAGGAAACCCATGTTCTCTTTAACTTTAGTTTTTTTGTCGTTTTCCTATACAGGGAGTTGCCACTGGCCTGCGACAGCGTAGCATTCAGAAACAAACTTTGCTATGGGCAAAAAGACTCGCGAAGACGACGACTCGTCCTCTGATGAGGAAGAGTATGTTGTGGAGAAGGTGCTGGACAGGAGGGTGGTGAAAGGCAGGGTTGAATTCTTCCTGAAATGGAAAGGATATTCAGAGTAAGTATTTTTCCTGGCAGGTTGGTATCCAGTAACTTTACATCTTAAAAAACGTTACAGTTGTTGTGATATTTCTGGGAACCAATGGTGGAGGGATTCACCTAGAAACAAAATAGGTTAAGAGCCATTCACTGCCTCTCGAGTCAGATACAACATTCACAAACACTTATATTCTGTGCTCATTAATGCTGCCCTAAAGACTAATGCTAATGAAGGTTCTTTACAAAATTATGGAAATCTCAGATACATTTTGATATTCTTATATTGTTCATTTCTGATCAGTGCTGTAGATTAAAAAATTGTACTGGTACTGACTTGCAGAACTGTTTGTTTTTTTCCTCAGAAAGCACAACACCTGGGAGCCCGAGAAGAACCTGGGCTGCCCTGAGCTCATTTCAGAATTCATGAAGACCTACAAGAAAGGCAGCAGTGGTGGAAGCTCGTCATCCAGCACTTCGACAAACAAATCAGTCACAACATCCCCCTTGGGACGTTCCAAAGACTCCAGTAGCTCAAAGAAGAGAAGCTCTGATGACGATGAGGAGGGGGGAAGCAAGCCCAAAAAGACGAAGGAGGTATGTAATGTGGCGACTAATTGTTTGCATTAACACTGAAAGTTTGACATCTATGGGGTAGTGTTCAGTTTCTGTAGAGATAATTTGCATGTGAGAAATTCAGACCATTTGCCGGCTTTGTGTGCTGCAACAAGGGCTTTGTCATTGATAAGATGAAAACATAGCAGTGTATGCTGTACATTTTCACACAACTCTCTCTTAACACTTAGTTTAATTCCTCCATAATTATCTAGTGGCTCGTTTACATTTTTAGTTTTCAAGTTATTTAAATTGGACCATTTAGCCTTGGTGTGGCCCTTCCCAAAATCATAGTGGATATATCAGTTATTGATACCATAGATGGAGCATAAAGACACTTATCTGTTGATCCTATGGCTCAAACATGTTTTAATCAAATCATGAGCTAAAAATAAAGTCAGGGATTGAAAGAATCGTGGAACCCTTAAGTGGTCTACAGTCTAATGAATGTAATGTACTCTAGCTTGTCATGTATTTTATAAAAACCTTTTACCTGCTGTGTTGTCTTTCAGGATGACATCCTTGTTGCCCGTGGCTTTGAGAGAGGACTTGAGCCAGAGAAGATTATTGGAGCAACTGACTCATGTGGAGACCTAATGTTTCTTATGAAGTGGTAGGTTTTTGTTATGTTCATTTCAAAAGGTACATGTGCAATGTAGTTTTGGCCCAGTGGTGTATGAAATGTTATAACTAAAACCAGCATTGTTATCAATAAAAAGGTGTTATTACTAAGGACTTAAGATGACCATTGACTTAAAATGTTAATAGTTCAAATGATTTGTAAACAGACTTTGAGGAAAAAAATAATGATGTTTATCAACTGTGTTCCCACACAAAGTAAAAGTGGTTGTCCTGGTCATAGTTTAATCTGAATGAAACGCAGTAGAGGAGGTTGTAACACGCATTTGCTTAGTGCGGGGCAATACCTGTCTAAAGTATCTTATACCGATACTTCTTCAAGAACCTGATTAATCAGAACAACAGCTTCTAATGACTGTCAATGCAAGGAACGATGTGAATTGAAGCAATAACAAACATTAGTGAAATATTTCACTATAATGTAACAATGTGACACAGTGCTGCTTATGAAAGGTTAATGCTTTGCAGAGGTGATGGTGAGCAGTACTGTCAGCTATTTGGTTGAGATGCCTCTTAACAAAAGGCTCTGATTAATTTTAAGTTCCCCTTGGTACGCATTGATTCATTGTATATGTCAGCTTTTATTGTGAAAGGTAGGAACAGAGCATGACGCTGTAATGTGCCACTGCAGCCGTTGACAATGTGAGATAAATCTTCGTTTACTGTCCTTCTTACAGTATCGGTACTAATTAATGAACTATTGCACAATTTTTAACTGCAGGTTATTGCGTTAGTATTGATACATTCATCAAGACTCATGGTGGCTTGTGTGTTTTTACAGATTTGCGTTCTTTATGAAAGATGAGGGCTTATATGATAGATGTGTACTGATTCTATCTCCAGCATTGGCATCCGTTTTAGTATTCTGCATGTTTGATATACCACACGGGGCATGATCGTAGGGGCTCTGAACATTAAAGATTGGTTTTAACAAATGAGCATGTTTTTGGGTGTTGACCCGGTTCTACAATCGGGGTTTCTGCAACAGTTTCTGTTTGTGACTTGTCATTACATGATCCTTTAAACTGCTGCTCTCAATGTGCCAGATTCCTGCTGACAAATTACCCATTAGCGGCACTAATAGCCTAGCTGTCCATTGATATACAAACAGTAAGACACACCATAACATTTTATGTCATTGCATATAAGCTAGATGGATATATTTGTAGTACCTCGTTACTCATGCCCGGTCACGCTAATTCCAAGGTGTTTGCTGATTCAAAAGGAGGCACAATTTACACTACATGGCATTTTATTTTTAATAAACCTAGAAAAAATCCATAGAATATTTTCTATATATAACTCAAAAGCTCCATCTGTGATACTTGCTATAAAAAGTATGACTTGACAAGTACTTTTTAAAACAAGTTAATCAAATAATACATGGCACTACCACTTACAACCCAACCCCTTTTATTAAAGACATTTTACCAGAAGCCGATTTATTTGACGGTATCAAAAATAGAAAGTTAAATACCCAAAATTAAAACAAAATCTGAGTTTTAAAACTACTGAAATTGTATTGCTGGTTTCATTCAAGCTATACTCATGTCTCTTAAAATAAATGTTAAATCTTTCACAGGGATATTTTATAATTTTTTTTTATTGAGTCGACAGGATTTCACATCTTTAGAAATGACAAAAAAAGTATGTATTTACAATATGGTACAGGCTTGCATAAGAACAATTTGTATTAATATACACTTGCTTTGATAAGCTCAGAGAAATGTTTGCCATATATTTAAGACAATGGGGTATAACATCCAACTTTCCAACACATTTTTTTTCTTGCAGGAAAGACTCTGATGAGGCGGATCTCGTGCTTGCCAAGGAAGCCAATCATAAGTGCCCACAGATCGTCATAGCCTTCTATGAGGAACGTCTCACCTGGCATGAAGACAGTGACAAGAAGGAGAAGGATGCGGTTAGCGCTTGAGTGCTCGTCTGAGGGGAAAACCGGACCTCCTCCACTGCAGGGACAACCTTGAGTCAGACATTTTTTCACACCCAAACCTCCCATCCTTGCTCTTCACCATGTCCAACAAGGACCGTGAACACAATCGTGTTATCTCCATCCATGCCCCATTGGAGCACAAAGGCCCCAGGCTGCTGAGAAGGATCCATCAGACGGGAGGGGAAGCTGTAGCGGACAAGGGTGACATGCTACTGGGGAGGGTTTCTGCTGTTATGTCTTTGTATTAAAACATTTTTTTATTGATTTTAACACATCATATTTTAGTACAGAATACGGTTGCCAGTAATGTATGTTGCATCCATGATCACATGTGGTCATCCATTAAAACTCAGAACATAGTCATGAACCTGCTTTGGTACAAGCCATGTTTACTATAAGCTTGTCCCATCAGCTAGTCCTAGGTAGTGCATCTCTTTGCTTTAAGAACCCAGCAACACCACGGAGGATAAGCCGTTGTATCTTTATTCAGGAAGTGATCACCGCAGCACTTTCCTGTCTTTATCACTTCCTTTTTATCTCTTTTA